AGCTCAGAGCATCTATATAAAGTGTAATATTATATATACATAAAGGAATGTTAATAACTGATGTTGTATAAGACTTCAGTGCAAACCTATGATAAGACCACCAGATGTAAAAAACTAAGAAACTGAAGAGACAGAATTCTACTTGGAAATTCCTAAATAAAGAAATAGCACAAACTTTTGATGATGCTATTGAACTAATAGAAGTTTACAAAACATTTTTATAGAAACCAAAGATTAAAACCAAATATCAAGATATATAGAAGAGCTTATGACCAACCAGGCTGCCAGATTCACTAGAGGAAAAAGATACTAAGGTATACTATACCAGGCCATCTGAATTGGTAGTCTGGAATAAGACTAACAGTTCTGAATTACAGTTAGTAGGCAATGATAAAGAAGATGTTAGGAAGATAGATACTAGAATTTGGATGAACTTTACAAAAGTAAAAATAGTATAATATAATAGTTTAAGGTTAGTCCTAACTGCAAATGTTAAGTAACTTTAGCATGTTACATAAAACTAGATTAGCTGTATATAGAATACAGAAGGCTCTAGTAATAATGCTTTTAAGAATATACTGCATAAATAAGATATAAGATTCTAAGTATATGGGTAAGTATCTAGACCTTCTCAACTGACTTATATAGTGAAAATGATCTAGTGATACAGTAAGGTTGCAGTACAAAGGATTTAAATAAGCAACATTCCTAGTTGAGTTGCAGGTATAGCAGCTAGTATAGAACTATCAGCAGACTACTTAATTAGACACCAAAAGTGTACATGTAACTAGTTGTATTCTCTAATATAAGGAGACTTCTTTGAGGCCTTGGCTATGAGTCCTTATATCCTAATTATAATGAATAAAAAACTCTAGCTTCAAAAGAAGCTAGTTTAATACAAAAAAAATAAAATAAAAGATTAGAAAACATACTATTACCAAAGTATGTAAATATGTATAAATTATAGTTATAGTATAGTAACTTTCCAAAAACTAATAATTTATTATGAATATATCATATCTAAAAAGACATTTAAATTGAACAATTTTTAATTGATAAAAAAATTGTAAACATAAGCTTTTATAAAACTAATATAGTAACAAATCAACCAATTATATATTATAGAATAATAAAACTACACTATAGAAAAGATTTTCTGAAAAATATCCTAATGAAATAAAAGGTTTCTTCTTTATAATATACTTAAAGACAGTTGTTACATATATCAAGAAAATTTAGGAGTCTTTGTTTAACTTGTAACAATTGTAAATATATTGTATTTAATAATATTGAGACATTAATTTTAACTCATATCAAAAATGAATATACTTGAATATATTATACTTACAACAAATAATAGTAATAATAATAATAAAAAAACCAATTTAAATTAAAATTTATAAAAAAATTTATTAATATAGTCACAAGTATTGTAATAATATATATGCTGAGAATTTTCAAAAAATTTAATATTACCAATAATGGCATAGCTCTTTACAATCATTGTATTAGTCATTGTATTTATTATACATTTGGTGTATATGATTTAGATCATCTAATTACATGTTTAGACTATAAAAACTTACTTTAATTTTTTGAATAATTAAAAAAAGAATTAGATAATAAGCACCATGTAATGTTAGATAAATAACAACAAAAACTTATTGTGTAAATGGCCTATTACATCTATAAAATCTACTTGAATATATATATAAAAACCAATTTTGAAAAGTTTAATAATAAAGGTACTATTATAATTGTAAACTATAAAATAAGAATATTATCACAGTCAGCTCATAAAACAAAAAGTAACTTTTTTGCAAAAGAAGTTGAAGCTTCTATTCTATATTTGTGTATACTAAAAATATATTAAATAATTAGCTAAACCTACAAGTATTTGATTATTGGTCAGATAATATACATTAAAATGCATGGTTTATTGTATCATTACTTTATACAGTTTTTGAAACAATAAACTCAAAGCCTAAATGGGTTACTATAATGTTAAATAATAAAATACATTATCATTATACTAAACTAATATTAATAATTAAACAATTAAAAAAATAGTATAGGATTACACTATGTAAATAGTTATTTCTTAAATCTAATAAAACTAAAACAGTAATTGATTCTTATCATGCAAAGGCCAAGTATTTTGTTAGATCTTCTTTAAAAGTATACTAATTGAAAATATTTCAAAATTTATATAAATTATATATTTATATTTTTACTATTATACTTAGTCATATAGGTACATGGTCCAGTATTACATATACCTATACTATAAACTTAACTATAAATGATATGACTAAATAACATTATACAAATAATCTACAACATGCATGAAATTATTGTTTAATCTCTAGATGGGCATTTCCAAATATTAGAATTTTCATTGAATCTCAAGCTCCAATTGGTCAATTTAAGAAATTTACAGAAAACTTGATGGGTATTATCGAAAATTAATTAGTGATTTTAGATTTTTTGCCGACAGGTATAGATTTTTCAATGATGGGCATGGATTGCCTAATGGGTATCAGAATCAATTAGTGATTTTACTATTAGATTTGGAAATTTTATTGATGGACATGGATTGACTTATAGGTATTAGAAAATTTCAGAGTTTTGATTTTCTATTATATTTTTGAATTTTTCATTTCTACAAAAAATAAAAATGTCATCACTACTAAAATTATGTTTTCTGAAAATTCTATTATAATAATCATCTTTGTGATATTAGTAAAAAATATTTCTCTACTAAAAATATATGTAGTTTCATAATATGATTTTATTTGTTTAGTTAATAAAATTTTGAGCAATATGAGTTTTGGATTTTTTAGAATTTTTTACTATTTCTTACAAAAAAATATCATCATACTAAAAATTGTATTTTACGAGGAATTTTATTAAGGCAATCATCTTTAAGCTATTAATAAAAAATATTTGTATAACAAAAACACATATAGTTTCATAGAACTAGTTTGCTTGTTTTATTAGTAAAATTTTGAATGATAAACTAATTTTATCATCATAGTTTTTTTTACAAGAGGATTTGCAAAGAAACATATGGATGAAGCTTCATCAAAAATAGAACTTATTTCATGAATATTAGTCTATTTGACTTGAAATTTGACTTGTGAATTCTTGAAAGTCATCTGCACTAACTTCATTATCATCATACAGTATGTTTAGTTGAAGTGTGGTCCTCAAATTAATACAAACATTATTGTAAATATTAAAGAAGAAGATTCATATATGTTTTTCAAATAAAAAAATTGAATATCTCTGCAAGTTTTTGATAAAATGACTTGAGATTTTCAGAAAAAATCTTATGAATATTCTCTATCAACTATATTAATGCATCTCAAATAGTTTAGAATCAGGATAAAAAATAATGACCTTAATCGATTATTATTTTCATCAAAAATACAGATTCGTATATGAAACCAAAATAAAAATTATTAATATCTCAATAAATATTAGGTCAATTATTCTAAAAATTTATATTCTAATAGATGAGATCTTGCTCTACAAATTTTAATAAAAGCATAAAATAAGTTTAGAATACCAATAATTAATCTGAAGATGATTTTGATTAACTATTTTCTTAAAAAAAAATTATATACATTTTTTTAGAGAAAAAACATTGTTAATCAATGAGTTTTAAACTAATATCAATAAAAATAAAGATTTTACTAATTCTTATTATGCTAAACAACTTTTATTATTATTAAAAAAGCACTTATCATAATACATTTTTGAGTAAATTATATTTTTAACTTGACTATTCTTTTAAAATATAAAGAAATTTGGAGAAAATATATAATATATATCTTATAATTGAAAACAAATATAAAAAGACTTAAATCCACTCTTGGTCTTTTTTTTTGTATAAAATTAATTATTTTATTAAATAAAAATGTCTTGGTCAGAGAAATTCAAGAGCTTTAAACATGTGATAAACTAGATCAAGGTCTCAAATTCAGACAGACCAAAACATAAATTAAATGAGTATCATATAGTTCTGATCAATTACAAACTGTACTATTAAGTCAAGACACAGAAACCAGACATCATGTTCTTCATTGATATTAAGAACATTCATCTCTTAAAAAATTATACTTTCTATTGTCATAAGAAAAAAAACAAAAATACATTTTATATTTGTACGAAATATAAAGGAAAAACTATAAAACTTCATCAATTGATTTATCCTGAATATAAAATGATTAATTACATCAATCGAGATAGTTGTGACAATTGTGAATGTAATTTATGAGAAACAACACAACAAGAAAATATGCTTAATCATAAATTACAAAAAAATAATATATCTGATTATAATGAAGTTACTTTTGATAAATCAAATAATTGTTGGAGATTTAGTTAATTTGAAAATAATAAACAAAAATCTAAAGATTTTTATATTACTAAGAATAGAACTAATGAACAAGTGAAGAAATTAACAATCCAATTCAAACAAGAAAATGATAAAAAAATTGGCAACAAAATAGATATATTATACAGTATTAGTTTATTTACTTAAATATTCAATAATTTTATTTATAATATATTAAAATACAAATAAAATAAAAAAATTTATAATTTAATCTTTTTAATTGTTGATTGTGCTAATTGATCATCTAATTTTCTTTTATCATTGGTTCTGTTTCTCAGTTTTTTTTCTTTAGCGTAATCTGAGTCGTCAGAATGATATTCAAATATATTTTCATCAAAATCTACTTCTACTTTAACAACATTATCAGTTTGCATTTCCATATCTTGTTTATATTTGTATAAGGCTTTACATTTTGGATAATCTCTTAGATAATTTTTTTTATATTCAGGAAAGTTCTGTCACTAGAAAACTTCTTTATTTTTAAATATAATTTTATCTTTGAATCCATTAGCCTTAATTTTTTCTATGATTTGGTTATCTAAAAGGTCTCCTTTATTGAATTTAATATTCCAAATCATATTTCTGAAATCTTCTTCAGAGCCTTTATGAAAATAAATTTGGGTAGTTCCAGCTTTCCAATTTCCTGTAAATTCTATCACAAAATCTAATCTTCTTTCAAATTGTGCCCAATCTCTCTGAACACTATCATTTGCAATTAATCTATTACCAAAATTAAATACTTCTTAAGGTGGTTTATGTAAAGTCATAAACACATATTTTGCAAGAAATGGTACAAATCCTTTTCTTTTAATTTCAACTTCCTCTTCAGTATCATTTAAATATTTGACAATATCACTTCAAGAGAAACACATGTATCTAAAAAAAAAATAAAATAAGTATTTAAAATATAGATTATCATAATAAAATAAATATATTTATCATTTATTTAGAAACATGATACTGTGTTTATTATAATTATCCCACCAATTTGATCTATTTTGTTGCTTCTTTTTTTTTAAATGAAGTTCATCTCTAAAGAGTTTTTGAATTAAATTGGATTTTCCTGCTCCATTAGTTCTATATAAATAGAATGTACAAGGTCTCCAAAACTTCTTTAGATATTTTTCACATTGTTGTTTTTTGAGCTTTAGTAAATGTGTTAAATTTTTAATAGATCTTAGCCAACTTCTTGGTAATAAATCTTTTTTATTCTTCAAGATATCTTCTTCTGTAAGATTATTCTCAATAATGTAATTGATTCTTTTGATATCTTCTAATCTTTTCTCATTAATTTCATTATTTCTTTTTAGTTCATTTGCAGTTGCAAGATATCAGTAATTTCTAAAAGTGAAAAATCCATTTTCTTCACTTGGTAATTCTGTAGATTCTCATCTTGCAAGTGTACATTTATCAATACGATTTTTGTCATATATATTACAAATCTTCTCTTTTTCTTGAAAATTACAATGACACTTCTTTCTATATTTGGATTTTTGCAATGATTTCACATCTTTTGGCTATAATCTTGATTTTGATCAGAGTCATCATTGAGATATTTTGGAAAATTCATACTTTTATGACCAAATAAATCTTTTATACTAGTCATAATTTGGCATTTTTTAAATTAAAAATATGCTTGCTCATGAAATTTTCCAGATTCTGTAACTTCATATTGGCCAGAGCTGAATGTTAAACCCTTTTCTTTCAATCGATCAAATTCTTGTTATGTTCTTGGAAGTACATGTTTACATTCAATGTTATCTTTTTTACACATGTCACAAACAACATCATTGCATGCATTCAATTTACAACATTCTGTACATGATTCTAATTTACATCTCCAATGTTGTTTTTGACATTTACTACATGTAGGAACTTCTTTAGTATACATATATTCTTCTTCTCTTTCTTGTTTTTTTTTTCAAAAACATTTTTCTTGCATTTAAATTTTTTTAAATATGGAATGCAATAGTAAACAGTTGACATAATATACAAAAATCTTTGATGTGACATTTTTTTTTTTTTAAAAAAAAAAAATGACCAAGGGCAGATTCAAGTCTTTTTATATTCATTTTCAATTATAAGATTTATTAAAAAAAAAAATACTAAAAATTACAAATATTTATTTTTAGATAATCTATTTTTAGAAACAAAAACTTTAAAAATCGAGAAACTCATTAGAATCATATTTAGCTTTATTGTCTTCAAGAAATTTATAAGGATAATATTCATCATCTGAAATAATGATTACAGGATTTTTATGATTTATATAAATTGAATCGAAATTGTATTCATTTTCATTGTCTTCGAAAACTTCTTTGTCATTCTTTGAGATGTTATCTTCATAAACTTGAGCTTCATTAGTTTCATCAACTTCATTAATGATATTAACTTCATCAGTCCTGTTATTGAAAGCCCATCTGGTATATCTAAAGCTTAAACCATAGAAACCTTCATACTATTTGAGCTCTTCAAGCAATTCATTTAAAAAAATATTTTTTTCATTAATAACATTTTGTAATTTCATAATGTTATTATCTTTTTTGACAATAACCTCTTGTAGGTTATTGATAATGTGAAGAGATGCTTCTTTGATCTCTTTAGTTTTTTGATCATATTCTTTCTTTTTATTTCTATGATGTTTTTTTTCTTTATTATATTTTTCAAGACTAATGAATTTATTAGTTTCTTTTTCTTTTAAAACTGAATAAGGGTATTCAGTAACTGTTTCTAGGATAAATGTAAGTTGTTGTGTGTCTTTTAGCATATTTTTAGTTAAAATTACTGAATATTGTTAAAATAAATACTTTCTTTATAAAAGAATTCATTTGTTAATTCTTAATTTCGATTGGTTATAAATCAAATTCATAATTTCCTTTAAAGTCAAGTCATGAGAATTCGAATTAATGATAAACAAAACCTTAATTTATTCTTAACAATCTTAATTAATTCATATCGTTTAACTTAAATTTCTTTTTTAGATAATTATTAATTAGATAATTCCTTTTTTTGACCAAATCAGTAATTAACTATTTTGGTAATATTACCAAAACAGTTAATTACTGATTTGTAATATCTTCAGATATGACAAAAAGTTTTACTGCTGGATCACCATCAAGAAAAAACATTTGTGTTTGTATATTTTGATCTTCAAATTTTTCAACTTTGATTAGAAAAGATGCATTTTGAAATCTTTGT